TCTTTGAGTTGTAATTGTGTATGTATGTATATATATAGTAGCGGAACCAAGAATTTTAGCCAGGGGAGTTGGGTTTTCAAGTCTCAAAACAGTACATTTTAATTTCAAAAACTTACTTTTATATCATAAATTAAAATAATAATCGATGAGTTTTTATATCATAAAATCTATCTATAATAGAGCATACACTAAATGTTTGAACTATTTCATTTTCAATATAAACAATTAAAGAGTTTGAAAAGAATTCGTCCTTTATTTTGTTGCAAAATCTTATTTTTACAATTTTCATGATAAAAAATGCTCTTTCTGTTATTATTGTAGAAACTGAAAGAGTAAATACCAAAATAATTAAAAATGAGATTGTAAACCTCTAATTTTCTTGTTTCCACAAACCATTAATATAATTTAGAAATATTTGACAAATTTTGAAAACTCTTATCACAACTTGTTTCAATCTCATAACGTTGAAGCTTTGATTTCAAATTAAGTTTCTCCATCTTTAAAAAATCTTGAGGATAATATTTTTTTACAAGTTCATAAATATGATCAATATTGAAACTCTTGTACTCATTTTTATGATCTAAAACACCACTGAGAGTCAATAATTTCATTGCATCCTCATTAAACCTACAATTCAATTTTTGCAATTGGAAATCTATTACAATATTGAAAATGTCTATTCGATAATGATGCTCAATAGTAATAATATCAATTATACAATTTTTTGTGATAATAAAAAATCAATAAGTTTTATTACTTAAATATTACTCTCTTCATATTAGAATAATAGATTTTTTGTTTTATCTTTAGATTAAGGATTTAGAAATAATTTTTATTTTTACCTATTTTATACTTAAAAAATAACTAAAAATAAATATCTACTTCAATCAGAATAGAGATAATTAAAGTTAAGAGATAATTATAAAGTTAAAATAGAAAAAAACTATTTGTCTTCCTTAAATTAAGAAAAAACCACTATTATTTTGGGACAAATTTTTAAAAAAAAACATCTATTATTTTGGAATAGGGAGAGTATATTAATTTTTGTTGTTAGAACATATTTATTAATAAGTATAAGATAAAATTTTAAAATAAAATAAAAAAATTTATAAAACTTGAAAGTTGAAATTCAAGATTCATATAAAAAGAGATAGTATTGTCTTTAGTTGGTGGTCCTTTTTGGTGATCCCTTTGGCTTCAAGCTTTCAAATTTCAATAACAAGAGAGTAGTGTAGTAATGCTGCAATGGTGTCGATGAACGGACGAATGACAGTCTTTTTATTTTTATTTTTTTAGAGTTGTTTGGTACTTGAGGTCGAAGGAGATTGGGATTGAAACTGGATACGGGAGAAACATGGTAGAAGACACGAGAATCTCTTTTTTTTTTTTTTAGAGAATTTTGTAGATAATTGTGGTTCTTGAGGTAAGTTATTTAAATAATAATAGATAATTAAATTATTAAAATAAAAAATAAATAATATGAATTATATTTGAACTCTTAAACTAACCCAATAATAATAGATAATTAAATTATTAAAATAAATAATAAATAATATGAATTATATTTGAATTCTTAATATGAATTATATTCGAATTCTTAATATAATTTTTTTTTTTGAACAAAGTTACAATTTTGAGAAAGGGAGGAATAAAATCCGAGCTCTCGGATTGAGAATGCACCTTACAAGTCGGTCTATAGGACTCAAGTGCGAATTCTTAATATAATATATTATTATTGAATTATTTTATTTTATTATTTTAATAATTAAAAATATAATATTTAAATCCCAGAGGACCCATTGCCCTTGTCTGTATATATATTGTTTCTTAATTAGACTAAATTAAGAAGTTATATTCCTTCATAAATTGTAATGTTCTCGATCAGTATTATTATCGATGAAGAAGACTTTCTCTAATTCAAACCTTTATAACCTGTCAGTTCCATGGTCAGAATTTGATCTTCGGCAGCCGCTCGCTCTAAAACAATTATTTCATGGACAGACTGTGGTCACCTAGAAATTATGTTTAAGTTAGGCATAGTACATTACACTAAAGCAACAAAAAATACATGGGTTATTGTTATATGTTAAATAGTTAAATATTGTATTATTTTAATATAATTAATTATTATATTTTTATATTATATAAATTTTTAAAATTTTATATTTTTTAATTTTTTAATAAATTAAAAAACATAATAATTAATTAAAAAATATGATATTATAAGTTAAAGATGCAGTAATAACATTACAAAAGAAAATGGTTGCAGTAGTGGTGGGGCTGGGCAGGCCTCATGCCAACCAACAAAACCACACCACAAAATCTGGTCGGTGTACCAAGAGTGTGTATAATGGGAACAATTAAAAAGTTTATTTTTGTGTCACATAACCATACTAAATAATACTTTATATAAATTTATATTTTAAATATTTAACTCTTAAATAGATTTGTTAATAAAAAATTTCTTCTCTAATTCATTTATCTAAACAAAATTATTTCAAAAAGTTATATTAATATTACTTTATTTGTAACTTTTAATAAAAAAATTTGAATTAAAAATTCTTTTGAAGAAAATTGAGAATGATCCAACGGGTTAAATGGTAAAAACTGCACCATCAGACAAGCAACTTTTTAAGAAATTATTTTAAAATGATAAAAAAAGAAAAAAAAGGTTCTTTGCGGAGAACAAAATTCTATTTTAAAACATACCATGGTGGATAAAGGTTTTCATTTATTTTACTTTTAAAAAAATTTTTTAAAAAAACTTTCATAATACTTACTCTAAAGTGACACGTAAAGTCCATTAAGTCCATGAAGTGATACATACTCTACGCTAAGGTGACAGTAAAGTCCATTAAGTCCATGAACATATGAAATGGAAAGGGCAGTAGAATTTCTTTTGGGGTATGTTTGGGTAGACACAAATTTACTGAGAAAGTTGTTTTTTT